CCTGCTAGACAGTTTAGTGAGTAAAAGCAGTGTCTTTCAGATTATTGCCTAGTACATTGTGACTCTGCATGTAAGAAGCCACCAGAAACAATCCAGAAAATGCAGGGAACATTGCACTTTGAAAGAAATACTTTAAAGGGAAAGAGAAAGATTTGTGGGGGTGATTTAGCTATAGAAAGAATAGGGCTCATACTCTGAATTCCTACTTACATGCCAGAATTTGTGTCAACCACTTTATATCTGATTTAATCCTCATAATAATCTACAGTTCAGAATTGTACCTTAGTTATCTTTGGAACTGGGATTTGAACTTAGACCTGTTTGGCTTCAAAGCTCAAGTTGTCAATCATTATACCACAGTGCCTGAAGCTCCTAATAGGATCTCCTTCCAGGCCAAGATATAATTGATTCTGGGATAATTAGCAACGTCTTTGGATAAAATGTAAGCTCCTTAGCATGATGTACTAAATTTCTTTGAAATATAGATCCCACCTACCTGTCTTTGCTTTTTCTTTCACCACTTCTTCCCTTTACTTCTGTCTCTCATACCGATTTTGTTTTTGCAGCTCCTAAACTTGTTCCCAAGCTTTTGTACATACCGTTCCTTCTGTCTAAAGTGCCCTCCCTTCCCCATTTTTCCTAATTTGTTCCTTGTTCTTCAAATTCAGCTTAGTCAATCATCTCAGGAAAACCTCCTTTAACCTTTTTAAAGACTGGTTTAGCTCCTCTTCAGAGCACCTTCTGTGTATCTCTCTTACAGCAGTTATCACATATTATTGTATATGGCTTCTTGTATGTCTGTCTTATGAATATTTTGAGCACAATTACAGTGTTAGATTCTTTTTAAAATTTTTTTGGTATCCTCTGCATTTAGCATAGGTCTTGGTCAGTGGTAGGTACTGAGTAAATCTTTGTGGAATGGAAGAATGTTGAATGGACAAACTGATGTTTTAAAAATGTGTTTTTCCTTTCTTGTTGAAATGCAGAGCCAGGCTTTCCAGGACTAAATCCTCCAATTCCTTGGGAACATGCACCACGTCCCCATTTCCCCCTTGTCCCAGCTTCGTGGCCTTATGGTTTGCATCAAAACTTCATGCATCAGGGAAGTGCCAGATTTCAGCCCAACAAACCTTTCTATACTCAAGGTACCGTTACTCACAAATTAGTTAACAGGCTGGGTGGGTTTTGTTTTGGGACAGGGAGCTTCAGTGAAAGCCAGGATATGGGAATTAAAATTCATGCATTGACTAAGCATATATTGAGAGCATAGTATGTCAGACTGTGCTAGGTGCTTGTTTAACGTGAGTAAAATAATATCGCCACACTTAATAAATGCGCATTTTGTTAGGAGAGCCAGACATGGAAAATAGGCAAGCATAAAAGCTTAGGGGGATCAGTTAACTTTGCCCTCATAGAGGGGGTCAAGAGGGCAGGATATGGATACCAGAAATTAATCCACAGGAGATTTTGGCATTTGAACTAGATCTTGAAAAGGAACTTTTTCTAGAGATTTCCGAGAGATTAGAGGGAAGGTTGTTCTTAATTGAGGGATTAATATATGCAAAGTCATTGAGTTTTGCCTGGCATAACGAAGAAGAGAACATAAAGCTAGAGCATGAAGTATATGAGAAAGATGTGTAGGTGATGAGGCTTGAGAGGGTAGGCTGAGGCCATATTATGAAAGAGTTTGGGCTTTATGTAGTAAGCTAACCTGAAAACCGTTGCTGTAAAGTCATTTCCTACTCATAGTGACCCTACAGAACAGAGCAGAACTGCCCCACAGGGTTTTTAAGGAGCGGCTGGTAGATCCAACTGCCGACCTTTTGGTTAGCAGCCAAGCTCTTAACCACTGCACTACCAGGGCTCCATTTAGTAAGCTGTAGGGATCTAATAAAAGTTTTTGAATCAAATATACCTGGTTAGATTTGTTTAGTAAAGCTAGGGCTTTAATAACATTAGAATTTATTATATTCTTCCGGTGCTAATGTAGTACCAACAATGGTTTTGACCTAAGTAATGAATATTACAAACTAAATAGAATTCCAAAGAACTTGTAGCATCTTATCTAGCCTACTTGCCTCAAAGTTACCTCAGTGCTAATAGGGATTGTCTGTGTCTGGCTGTCAGTTTAGTCAACCTAGGGGTTAAAAAAACTAGATTGAGGGTAACTGCAATTAAACCAGGAGTTCAAGAAATTAAAGAAAGCTACTCAGGAAATATTGACTGAATGAAATGATAACTTTAAAGGGAGATTGTTCAGGCCCCTGGTCTAAGTTTCTGACTTGATACATTTAAGGCTCCCTGAACTATCCATATACTGCTGGGGCAGCCCTATATTATAAAGAGTGGCAGAACCTTAACTCTGGTTGGTTTCTTCTGAGGAAAGAACTAGGGTTGAGGGAAGTGATTAATGGTCATACAAACCCTTTTTTCAGAGGAGTCTAAAGTTCTTCCCTGGTGGGTTTCTTCTCTTGATTTCTCCCCTCCATCTGTCTTTTATCTCTTCTCTCTTTTCATGTACCCACATCTCCCCATTCCCCACCAAAATGTTTTGATGTGCTTCATCTCCTCTTACTATATAAATAGAGAAAAAAGAGAACGAGCTACAAGTTAATTCTAAGGGGTTGTCAGATAAATAGGCACAAGCCTTTCAGTTTCCTGTCTGTGTTGTATCCAACAGACAGATGTGCCATCCGTCGATGTAGAGAGCGTTGTCCCCACCCACCGAGAGGAAACGTGTCGGAGTAATGCGAGTCCATTTTCTTTCAGCTGGTCTACCGATGCACAGCAACCAGCCAATCCTGCTGTCTCAAGGGTATCCGTACCTCAGTGTCAGTTACATTCAACAGAAAAAGTGACATTTAATGGAAAGCAAAGCAAATCAGGTCCTGATTTAAAATTTTAACACGTTTAGATAGATTATTTAAATTCTAAGACTGTTTTTAAAGACTGTATTATTTGTATATAAATATGAACTATAGTTTTTACCAGTATCACCAAATTGAGTGGTACAAATTTCATCTATTTTATTACCCTATTTTTAAGGGAATTTTATGTTTTGTTTAACCTTGATGAATTGTATAAAGAGAGAATTTTAAAAATTACATTCTTTATTTTCTATTAGCTGTATTCATACTTTGGTTGCTTCAGACTTTATATATATTGTTCTTAAGAATTAGGAAAGAATTTCACGTGTTTTAAATTTGTCACTTCTATTCTTTACAGAGCCTTGTAGTGCCAAAAACTTTTTAAAAGGTAAAAAAAATAAATAATAATAAAAACTACAACACAAATCCAGATTTTCTTTTTCTTTTACATACTTGTATACTGAAAATATTCAAACTTGAGAGGAAAGTTGCTTGTCTGTATTTGGAGTAATTCTATTTTTAGGTAATACTTTTTCAAAAAGAGTTAAATTTGGTTAATTCATCTGGTTGTTTAGGTGATAGAAATATAATGTAACAATAGAGATTGGTTTCCTTCTCAGTAAATATCAGTAAATATAGGTATTCTAAATCACAGACTTAGTTTTAGAGGTTCAAGGATCTTTTCATGTCATTTTATTGGATTGTTACAACAAACATATGAGGTTGATAGGAGAAGATGCTTCCTCCATCTTATCATTGAGAAAACTAAGGGGCAAAACAGTGAAGTGACTTCCAAAGGTAGCACACTTACATGTTGGGAGTAGAATTAAAAAAAAAGGTCTTCTGAAGTAGAGTTTTCAAACACGGAGACTAATGCCAGTAAAGTGAAGGGAAGATAAGGTTGTTAGGTGCCGTTGAGTTGGTTTCGAATCAGTGACCTTGTGTAAGAATGAAACACTACCTGGTCCTGCGCCATCCTCACTATTGTTGCTATGTTTGAGCCCGTTGTTGTAGCCACTGTGTCAGTCCATCTCATTGGCCGACCCTTTTTTTCGCTGACCCTCTACTTTATCAAGCATGATGTCCTTCTCCAGGGGCTGTTCCCTCCTGATAACATGTCCAAGTTATGTGAGACATAGTCTCGCCGTTCTTGCTTCTAAGGAGCGTTCTGGCTGTACTTCTTCCAAGACAGATTTGTTCATTCTTCTGGAAGTCCATGGTATATTCAGTATTCTTATTTATTAAGGACCTAATATGTGCCTTTCAACTCTGTGCATCATAACAAATTATGGATAACATTGCGAAGAATGGGAATTCCAGAATACTTAATTGTGCTCATGAGGAACCTGTACATAGACCAAGAGGCAGTCTTTAGAACAAGGGGATACTGCGTGGTTTAAAATCAGGAAAGGTGTGAGTCAAGGTTGTGTCCTTTCATCATATTCATTCTGTATGCTGAGCAAATAATCCGAGAAGCTAAACTATATGAAGAAGAACGTGGCATCAAGATAGGAGGAAGACTCATTAACAACCTGCGTTATGCAGATGACACAACTTTGCTTGCTGATAGTGAAGAGGACTTGAAGCACTGATGAAGATCAAATACTACAGCCTTTAGTGTGGATTACACCTCAACATAAAACAAAAATCTTCACAACTGGACCAATAAGCAACATCACGATAAATGGAGAAAAGGTTGAAGATGTCAAGGATTTCATTTTACTTGGATCCACAATCAACGCCCATGGAAGCAGCAGTCAAGAATTCAAAGGACGCACTGCATTGGGCAAATCTGCTGCAAAAGACGTCTTTAAAGTCTTAAAATGCAAAGATGTCACTTTAAGGACTAAGATGCCCTGAATGAAAAATTGATGCCTTTGAATTATGGTGTTGGTGAAGAATATTGAATATACCATGGACTGCCAAAAGAACGAACAAATCTGTCTTGGAAGAAGTACGGCCATGTTCTGTAGAAGGGAGGATGGCGAGACTACTTAATACTTTGGACATGTTATAAGGAGGGACCAGTCCCTGAAGAAGGATATTACTCTTGGTAAAGTAGAGGGTTGGCAAAAAGAGGAAGACCCTCAATGAGATGGATTGACACAGTGGCTGCAACAATAGGCTCAAGCATAACGATTGTGAGGATGGTGCAGGAGCGGGCAGTGTTTCCTTCTGTTGTACATGGGGTGGCTGTGAGTTGGAACCAACTCAGTGGCAGCTAACAACAGCATTATATGCCAGACTGTATATCCATTCTGAATCTTGTACTACCCCCTAAAAAACAAATTTGCTAGGATGCCAGTTGGTTAGCAGTAATGCTTGTACAATCAGTAATTACAGAAGTGTTGGAATTCAGACTTGTGTTGTTGGTAGGAGATTTTTTTAGCTGATTTTGGTATTACATAGTCAGAAGAGGTCATTTTGTCTAATCTGTTTATTAAACAGATTTGCCAGGGATTTTAGGCTAAATGATATTACAGATGTATTTGGAAGTGTGCAGAATGATTGTATTGTCTTTGTCCTGCTTCCTGGGATGTGTGTTGCTTCGAGTACCTGGGATCCTGCCATCATTTCCTAACAGAGACAAAGCTTTAAGTCTATTGTAGGAAGTTCAGGGTTTTCCTTGCCCTAGTTACAGCCTGAAAAGGCGTTTATTGAATGTTAGGACCAGGTATATTTACTGTTAGCTTTTATATTCAAGTGTTATAACTTCAGCATCTCTCAGCTTATTTGCTTTGTTAATGAGATATCTGGCCTAACTTACGCTTTTGTTAAAATATGACGAGCATTCAAGATTTTCTTTTAAATTTAATGTTTATCTTCTCCTTCCAGCTCTTGGAGAAGTAGGTTTGCTATAAAATCTGAGGTCATCTTATTTCCCCCTTACAGAGACTTGATTTCTCTGCTTGGGTGCTCATATAATTTATCCTTTAAATTCAGGATTTTTTTAAATAAGATTACTTTGCATGTGCTGGATTTCAAGTATTTTCTACATTATCTCTGTAGCTTTTATCACTTTACTCTTTTCCATTTCTTATCTCTTCCTGCCTGTTTTCTCTATGCTTCTGTATTTTGTAGCTTCTAATAAGGCTTTAATTTCTGCAATTTAAAAAATCTTCATTTCTTTGAAGTTCCACCAGTTTATTTTCTTTTAATCTCCTTTAAACCCATGTATTTAAAAAATTTTAACAGCTCATGCTGTCTGCTGTATCTTTTCTGAGTCTGTAGAGAATTTACTTCATGTTCCTTTAACTTCTAGGGCCCTGAGGCACAGTGGTTAAGAGCTCAGGCTGCTAACCAAAAGGTCGACAGTTCGAATCCACCAGCCGCTCCTTGAAAACCCTATGGGGCAGTTCTGCTCTGCCCTAGAGGGTCGCTTTGAGTTAGAATCAACTCGACAGCAACGGGTTTGGTTTGTTTTCTTGGGGAGCAGAAGTGGCATTTATAATCATTCTTTTTTGATTAATGCTTAATTTTAATCAGGTCTAGCTACTGAAGAATAATGGGAAGGAGCTAGGGAAATTATTAATTTGGGTTGTTGTATTGATACCTTCTCACCAAATCCATTATTTCCTCTGCTCCTGGAACACATCTCCCTTCATTTCCTAGCATTAAGAGGTCATCATGCCCCACTGCAAAGCTCTTCAAAAAGCAGTGTTTTTCAAACAGTGGGAAATGAAATCAATTTAGTGGTTTGCACCTGTTATTAAAAACTGAACTCGAATAGGAAATGTCAAGCGTGTACTTTGAATAAGGGGTAAGAATTATTTCATGAAATTTCAGCACATAGTATGCATATGTTTGTACAGAGGCAAGATGTAAAATGTATTTCTTAATACATGTTGTGGTCAAAATGTTTTAAAGTGATTGTTTAAAGGCCTCGTCCAGTAGGCTAGCATATAGACGACAGAAATGGCCCTTCAGCAAGGTTTATCCTTAAGATCCATCTTCTCTGCAGTTCTGTAATTTATCAAAACTGTCTCTACAGTGATGTTCAACATGTCCCACTGACTCTTACCTCTGTTTTAATTAGAGACTATGAACAGTCTGCTTCCTGCTCTAGGTTGGCTATGCTGCCTCAATTTTGGTCGAGATTTAACCGTATGTCTAAAACGTGCTTTAAAGTTTGTTTTAGGAAGGTTTATTTTTTCTATTAAAATTTTTTTGTGAGGTTTTAAAATTTTATGAATATACTGGATTATAACATGTAGTAAATTTGGCTGGCCTGTGGATCATTTCTCCAGAAGAAATTTCTTTCCACCTAAATCACTTTGGTAAAGAAATAGCTGCTAGTACTCTATAACAGACTTAAATAGATGAGCTTGTATCTAATTTTTAAAAGTAGTCCTATATATAGCTACATCACAAACACATAACAGCTCTCAGGGACAACCTTTGCCAACCCAGGTAGTATCATGAGGGAATCACTGAAGAATATATATGAGTTCTAATGTGATCCAAACATTCTTTAATATTGTTGTAAAGGATCTGTGTCTACTAAGTTTCTTCAGTTCAGTAGCAAATAATGGACTGTTTACCCTGTGATCTGATGACTTCCCAAGAAACAATCCTGTGAGGAGCTCGTCTTCACAGTTCCTGCTAGGACTAGTGTTGAAGGAATAACTCTTTGCTTTTTAAAGGAGGAAAGGAAAGTAGAAGTAACTGCTTTAGTAAAAATCAATACCCTCTTTTGATTATCAATGCTCACGGATACTTTTCAGTCCTTATTTTGCTTAGACCCTTCGCTTCTTTGACCTGCTCTCTCCTAATTCTCCGACCTTTCTGAATGGTTCATTTCACTTTTCAGTTGGTGGCTGCTTTTCCTCCTTACACCAATGTTGGTGTTGCTTACAGTTCTGTTGTTTACACACACTCCCTGGACAATCTCATCTAATTACACACCTTCCACAATTACCTAACATTTGTCAGTTCTGTCTTCGATCACTATGCTGAACTCCAGTACATATTTCCAGCTGTCTGGACTGTATCTAGATGTATCATACCAAAAACCAAGTTGCCTTTGAGTTGATTCTAACTCATAAAAACCCATGTGTGTCAAGAGTAGAACTGTATTCCAAAGGGTTTTTAATGGCTGGTTTTTTCAGAAGTAGATCACCAGGTCTTTCTTCTGAGGTGCCTCTGGGTGGACTCAAACTGCCAACCTTTCGGTTAGCAGCCAAGTACATTAACCATCTGTACCACTCAGGGACTCCAAATATACCACTGTTGTCTCAAATTAAACTTGTTAAACTGAATGTACCGTTTTCACCACCACCTCCCTCGACTCTGTGGTCCCTCCAAAACTTGGTATCTTCCTGATATATTTTCTGAAGTTGTGAATGGCACTACTGTCCATCTATTTAAGTCAGAACTATGAGTGGCATTACACACTTCCCTCTCTATTAAACCTTTTTCAGTTCTGTTGCCCTACTATTACTGATTAGGCTTGGATAAAGTCAACACTTTTGTAAGACAGGGTGAGCTCCTTGACCTGGAATTCAAGGCTTTTGGGGAAGAACACCACTGTGCTGTATAAAGGATGTTATGTGTTACTGCTTGTCGAGCTGTTCAGTGAATCTGGACTAAGTGATCCAGAAGGAGCCTTATGTTTGATTGCATTTTGCTCCTGCAAAGCTGGTGCTAACTAGTCAGTTTACATGGTCATTACCACTTGCTCCTGCTGTTTAAAAAAAAGTTAGAGGCGTTAGTATGTTTTACTGATTTGATCTTTGAATCTAACAACAGCAGCACAAATCCTAGGAGTCTCAAAGCAGTTCCATTGCTAAGCAAACCAAAGAATAAACTACAGAAAAATGGGAAACGGGCGTGTCAGGTTTAATAACAAAAAAAGGGTCAGCAGATGGCCACATCCTTTCCCTGTCATCCATATACCCCTCCCCCCCAATATCCTTCATACCCTCATAAATTCAGTCTGGCTACAATCAAGGTTGGGTGTACAAAACAGGTCAAAAGTAGCCCTTAGGAAACATTATCTCCCAAACATGTGGGTTATGATTCAAAAAGGGGTATCTTCACAATGTTCAGCACCTCTTTCCTTTTTAAGGAAAAAAAAAAAAGGTGAAAAACTTGGTAAGAAGAAACTAAAATATTTTCATAGCTGCCTAGGGAATAAATCTTAATCCTTCCACATAGACAGATACTCTCCTATCCACAGGAGGCCATCTGGACTGAAATCAAACTGAGTCCATTATTCATTCCCTCTCCGGCTCTTCTTGTGGCTTTTCTTAGACCTGAAATGGCAACACATACAAATCATTCAATTTAGCGGCTGTTCAAGGAGCTGGACAAAGACTGCAGACTGATGGGGCTGACACTGAATATTCAATAAATACACCTGGTATTCTTTATGTCTCAGAGCAACCCTGTGAGTCAGGCATTACTATCTAAAACTTCCCACTGAGGAAATGGCCTCTCAGAGGTTAAGAGTGCACCTACAGTGTATGGAATACAGAGGGTTCTAAGGAAAGCTTACTGATGAAAATGACTTTCCAAGGTCACTGAACTGTTAAGTGTTAAAAGTTGGAACATAAACCCTTTGTTTTCTTCTGAGAACAAAGCTCGAGCCCTTTCTATTATCCAAAGTTGCAATCTCAGAAGAAAAAAAATTCTCAGGAGTATAGGTCAATTTTGTTCTGAAATGAAGAAGAATCCCCTTTTAAAACAAAATTTGTAGGTTAACTTGGTTGTGGTTGGGATTTTAATTTCTAAATTAAGAGTGAAGTTCTTAACATGAAACAGAGGCCGTTACATACCTTTCAGGGGACTTTGAGTGGCTTCTGTGTCTGTGACTACGGTGATGACCTGGGGAAGAAAAGGCCATTGGATGAGTGAGATTGTACCCTCCCCTCATCCACTATCATTCTCATCTCCCCCAGTCCCCTCCATCGGCTTAGTACTTTTTTGACCTGGTCTGGGAACACCTCTTGTAGGTGAACTGATGGTGGGGAAAGTAGTAACGAAACCACTTCATATACATTAAGGGCTTTACGGCTAATTCACAAACATCACGTTGGGTTTTCACCATTAACTCTGTAGGATTTATTTCTGTAGTTTCAGACGAAGAAACTGAAGCCCATCATCATATCAGCAAAGCTAGTAAGTGACAAAGACAAGACGTGAACTCAGATTTCCAAATTTCTAGTCCAGTTCCTTTTCTGCTAGGCAATAGTACAGTCAGGCTACTCCTATACTGCAAGAGGCTAGCTGCTCTTCTTATGTTTCTCTGTTAAGACAACCAACGGCAAAAGGCCCAAATGCTGTACCTGGGGACTTAGAGCGGGATCTGTGCCGTCGATCTCGAGACCTACTGCGATGACGTCTTGGGCTCTTGCTCCTATGCCTTTCTCGGCGAGGGGAGGGGCTGTAGAAGAGACTGGTCAGAAACCCTGATAATGTTTGGCAATATATACGCTATGACAAACAATACACAGCCCACCTCCCCAATCCCCATCTTTCATTACAAATGACTAAAGCCTACCTTCTCCTTTTGGGGGACCGACTCCGCCTACAGGGAAAGAAAAGACAAGAAGAGAGCTTAGTGGATACACTGGATGTTGTAGATTACAAAATGGCCCCAATTCTTTCTTATCTCTGTGTCCATGTCCGTCGCAATAGAACTTTGTAGCACCATCCCACTCTAACTTTGGGACTGACCATGTGACTTGCTTTGGTCAATGGGATATTTGCGATTGTGATGCAAGCAGATGATGGGAAAACACTAGCATGACTGGGCTTGTTTACTCTTGAACTCTGCCAATGCCGTGAGAACATACCCATAGGATGAAGAGACGTACAGATGAGATGAATTGCCCCAGCGACCTCGGCTAAGGCCATCCTATGCCAGCCAACAGACAGCTGATCACAAGAAAGCAGGTGAGTGAACCTAGCTTTACTCAAAAACCGCCTATCTGAGCTCCGCTTAAATTGCTGACTGTGGACTTGTGAGCTAATAAATGGTTATTGTTATCTGCATTGAGGTTTTGTGGCTCACTGTTCTGCGATGATGGATAGCTAATCCACTGGGCAAACAAACACTCTCCATAGGCTGGGCATTTTTCCTTCCCTTAAGTCTAAACTTACGGGCTACAGTGTACAAAGTCTCCCGGAAGAGGCCAATGACTACGGCCTTACCTTCTGGGAGACCGGCTCCTACTCCTCCTGTAGCGCAGTGTGGGAGAGCGACGGGGCTTGTCCAAGTCTCTGTAGCTTCTCCGGCGGTGATCAGGTGATGGCACTCTCTCCAACTGGAAATGAGAGGGTAAGGTCAGAGATGGTCACAGGCTTCAGAGAGCCATTTAGGAACACTGCTTACACCCACATCCTGTCCCAAAGTCTGCCTCTAAAGGACTTTACAACACAGTAATTTTTTTACTACATATAAAAGGATAACCCTAAGGACAAAAAGAACTACCAAAAAAAAAAAAAAAACAAAAAACTTGTTTCCAATAATCTGACTGTTCTAGTGTTGGTGTCACCATTCTGGAACTGTGTGCGTAATGTGAGAGATAAATAATTATGCTTATTAAGAAGGTCGATTTCCAACATGATTAAGTGCATCTCCTTAAGTTCCAAGGAATTTAGGAGAGATGGATGGCAGACTAATAAATACAAACTCACAATGTTATTTTATCTTAAAAAAAATTTTCCCCCTAACTCTGCCAGCTGAAAAGGCCTAGAAACACTGACCAACTCCAGTAGCAATGAATGTGGGCACATGTACAAAACAAATTATTTAACTTTAGTAAAATCGTAAAAGAAATCTAATGTAGGACTTCTGTCATTGGGCTGACTAAATATTACAGGGACCCCCTCAATGTAGAACAACTAAGCCAGGTGGTAGGACACATGGTGGTCTCACAAAAATTAGGGGAGGTCTTCAAGTATCCACCCACTTCAAGAACAAACCAACAAAACAGAACAGTGAGTTGGTGCCTCTGCAATGGGAAGTTGGGTAGAGCAGCAGGTATCCAAGAAGAGCTGGGTTTGAACACAAGTGCTGAGATCTGCAATGCTTTAGGAAATGAGAGCCTTGTGCAAGCCTCAAGGCATGGAATAGGAGCCTAGGGCTCATGTGCTGAACCAAAATTCTCAAAAAAAGCTGACGAGGTCCCAGTTAGTGATATCTCTAGGTACTAGCAGATACAGAAATAAATCCTTTTTGGAGGAAAACACCAATCTTAAACTTAGGGCCATAGGAATCTAACCAAATTCAAGCAAAAAGCTTAAAATAAAATCACCAAACACATGACTAAGAGTCAGCAGTAGCAACAAGCAACAGATTCAGATACCTCCAGGACTGATAACTGAACTGTCAGAAAATATATTTGTGAAATGTTTAAAGAAATAAAGTACACAATCAAAAAGACCAACCAACAAAAGACCTTTAGGAAAGAACAGATGGATTTAAAAAAAAAAGGAAACTCTAAGAAACATAATTGGTGATAAAAACAACTCAAAGTAGATGAATGAAAAAGCAGATCGGACAGTAATAAAGTGCAAGTGAACTGGAAGACATGAATAAATTACTGGCAATGCAGGACAAAGTGGTAAGACAGAAAGCATGAAAGAAATAGAGATATGGTGGATAGAATGATCCCAGTAAAAAAACAGCTGCCAGTCAACTCCAACTCATGGTGAGTCCATGTGTGTCAGAGTAGACTGTTCCACAGGATTTCCAATGGCAGATTTTTCTGAAGTAGACTGCCAGGCCTTTCTTCTAACATGCCTCTAGGTGGACTTGAACCTCCAAGCTTCCAATTAACAGTTGAATGTGTTAATTGTTTGCACCACCCAGGGGCTATGGATAGAATGATAGAACCTTATATACATTTAAATGGAATCCTTTTGAGAGAGAATGGAGCAATTATAGACGAAGCAATGGCTCTCAATTTTCCAGAGCCAAGGAAAAACGTCCAGGAAGCAAAATGTATACCAAAACTAGACAAGTAAAAGGAAACTCAGGGCTTGAAACATTATACTAGAACTGAAAAACAAACCCCCCAAAAAATCACAGATCACTTACAAAGAAAAAAATCAGACCACTTACAAAGAAACATAATTAGAATGACAGCAGACTTTTCACAATGACAGGGTGTCAGAAGACTGAATAGTATTTTTACAGTGCTGTGAGAAAATATAATTGTATACTAAAAAAAAAAAACCTTTCAAAAATAAGAATGAAATAATCATTTATCAATGAACAGAATTTCCCAATGGAAATTTTAAATTACATACTTCCGGAAGAAGGAAGATAACAGAAGTATGGGCTGATATTCTGAAGAATTTCTTAAATAAGACACATAAAAATGCTAACTCTAAAAGGAACAACTGGTAAGTTTGAGTATAATAAAATTAACTTTTTTGTTCATCAAAAACACTTTCAAAGAGTTAGGCAAAGGTATCTCCACACGTAACCAACAAACACAAAGAACTCAGCTGAAAAATGGGAAAAAAAATAAAAGCAGACATTTCCCAGAAGAGTAGATTGTTATGGCAAATAAACATAAAAAGATGTTCAGCTTCATTAGTAATCAGTGAATGCAAACTAAAATTAATATATCAGTTCACACCCTATGAATTCATAAAGATTAACAAATCTTGACAAAACAAAATTAACAAGTTAAGTGTGGAGGTTTGGAGCAACAGGAACTCTTATATGCTGCCAGAGGAAATATAAATTGGTACAACCACAATGGAAAACAATCTGGGAACACCTCAAGACCTCAAAATTATGCATGCCTACAACTCAACAATCCCAATCATGGGTGTATATAGCTAAGAGAAACTCTTACACATGTATACCAAGTGACAAGAATGTTTTTAATAAACTAGAAGACACAATACACTCTGGTAGAGAAGAATCTTTACACAATTATTATAAAGTTGTCAAAAAGACTGAACTACAGTTTTACCTACAATATAGATGAGTACTGGAAATGGACTGAGTGAAAAAAGCCAATCCTAGTCCTAGAAGACTACAATATGGTATATCACTTTCATAGAGCTCAAAAACAAAACATTTAGAAAGAGGAACATGTGTGCAGAAGCCCTGCACTGCATAACTCCAGACGGCCCCAGAGATTATGATGGGAATGGTACACCCTGATGTAGTGCAGTGCACGATCTACAGAGCCTTAAGTGGTGGCTCTGCATATGTGATTAAATTACCTCAGAAAAATTACCTCTGAGGGGGAGGCAGGGGCAAGAGATAGGGAAGGAATACATAGATAGATGCAAGTTATTGTTAATAATCTAACTCTTGAGTTGCTGGTAGATTTAAAGGTTTTATTACATTATACTTAATACCTCACATTTTAATATATTTAAAAATACATTATAAGACGCACCCAAGACAGGGCTCCAAAATACATAAAAAAAACTCTAACAACACTGAAAAGAGAAATTGACAATAGTAGTAGACTTCAACACACCACTCTCAGTAAAGGACAGAACAACTAAGAAGAAACTCAGCAAAGATACAGAAGATGTAAAGGGCACAATCAGCCAAACTGACCTCATAGGCATATACAGAACACTCCATTCAACTGCTGCAAAGTACGCATTCTTTTCCAATGCACATGGAATGTTCTCCAGAACAGACCACATCTTAGGCCACAGAGCAATCCTCAACAAGATCCAAAAC